AATATTTTAAAATATTAAATTATGTAGATTGTAAAATAATTTTTTAAATTGTTAATCTATAAAAGGAAAGTTTTTTTATAAAATTGAAAAGGTTTTAAATTTGGAGGGAGTTTGTAGTTTTACATTTTTTTCGAAATTTTTAATAATAATAATAATAATAATAATGATGTAACGAAATGAAATGAAACAGTAACAAACCCTACTCTGTGTTGTTGTTATTATTATTCTCCTTGGTTCATTGTCTCAGTGAGGCTCTGGGTCTGTGGCTCTTTGATGAGTATATGGTAATAATAAGAGAAGGGTAACCTGTAAAATCAAATTTAAAGCTCTTCTTGTTTGGCTCCCCCATCCCATCAACCAGATCTCATCTCATCTCATCTCATCTCATCTCATCATCAGATGTAATTAATTGTAAAAACCCTCTTTCTTTCTTTCCTTCCTTCCTTGTGCAAATTAACTGCATCAAAACAGGCAGGCAGGCAGGCAGGCATGTCTGATCCAACCTCCCTCCACTTGAAGAAGGAGCTTACCCAAATCCGAAAAGCTGCCCGCCTCCTCCGTGATCCAGGGACCACCTCCTCTTGGAAGTCCACCTCCAGATCTGTCCTTCCTCCTCCTTCTACTTCCACCCTCTTCACAAACCACTTCAATGCCGCCCATCATCCCCCTCCCCACCTGGAATTGCCCAATGCCAAACACAGCGCCGTCTTCTTGCATAACTGGAAGCATCAGAATCGCAAATCAAATCATCAGTTCGATGACGATGCTGATGCTGATGCTGATGCTGCCTCCTCTTCTTGGGTTCAAGACGACAGCTTTAGCGATGCCAGAAACGATGCCGATTCCAAGAGTGACACCTATTTACCCGACCCTCGCTCTGCTTCCTTCTTATTCAGGTGCAGGGATACAAATCTTGTCTCTCCAAGACTCCTGCTTGGCTCCAGGAAAAAGGGTAAGCGAAATACTACCACTACATCTCCATATGTTTTATCTACAAACCACCAACTAAAGGATGATTCTGACGAGGATCTCCACATTATCTCATCTGGAGCATCCCCTTTGCTACTCAACCCCAAACCCAAACCCAAACCCAAGACGACTAAGGCTAGGTTGAAAAAAACTAGCAGAAAGCTGCACAAGGACAACTCTGTCTCTGTCTCTGCCTCTGCCTCTGCCTCTGTCTCCACCACTCCTGCACTCTCAACTAGTTCTTATACTAGGTACTATAATCGTAATCCTCCTAGCAATGTTGGTTCTTGGGATGCCACCACTACTTCATTCAACGATGGTGATGATGAGGTGGATGATCCCTTGGATTTGCCTGCCCGTCAGGGATGTGGGATTCCTTGTTATTGGTCCAAGAGACCCTCAAAACATAAAACCTTGTGTAGGAGTTGTTGCTCTCCCTCCCTTTCTGATACTCTGAGGAAAGGCACTAGCATTCTCTGTGGAACTCAGTCGGTATACAATGGACATAGGCCTTCTACCTCACTCTCCAAAAAGCGCCTAACCCATCCCCATGCCCAACCTCTTCTTCCATTGCTTACTGGTAGTGGTAGCGGTGGGAGAGGAGGTTCATCCCTTGTCACTGGATGCAGCGACGATGAACTATCTACCAATTTTGGCGAGCTTGATTTGGAGGCTTTGAGTAGGTTAGATGGAAGGAGGTGGTCTTCCAGTTGTAGGAGTCAGGATGGGTTAGAGATTGTGGCTTTCTCTAGAGAAGGAGAAGCAGAAGCAGAAGAGGAAGGTACCCCAGAAAACACTAACAGCTTCAGCCAGAAATATAAGCCAATGTTTTTCGATGAACTCATTGGGCAAACTATTGTGGTTCATTCCCTTGCCAATGCTGTTTCAAGGCGAAGGATCGCTCCAGTTTATCTTTTCCAAGGTCCCCGAGGGACTGGGAAAACTTCAACAGCTAGAATCTTTGCCGCCGCATTGAACTGTCTGGATACTCAGGACTCTAAGCCTTGTGGCTGCTGTAGAGAATGTACTGATTTCATTTCAGGGAAAAACAGGGACTTCTGGGAAGTTGATGGAACCAATAGAAAGGGAATAGATAGAGTTAGGTACCTTTTGACTAGCCTGTCGGCAGGCCTCTCAGCAAGCTCTTCAAGATACAAGGTTTTTGTCATCGATGAGTGTCACTTGCTGCCCTCTAAAATGTGGTTGGCATTTCTCAAGTTTCTTGAAGATCCTCCTCCACGAGTTGTATTCATATTCATCACAACTGATCCTGATAATGTTCCTCGCACTGTGCAATCACGGTGTCAGAAGTACCTCTTCAACAAAATAAAAGATGTTGACATCATGGAAAGATTAAAGAAAATCTCCACCGATGAGAATCTTGATGCAGAATCTGATGCATTAGAATTAATTGCATTGAATGCAGATGGCTCACTCCGAGATGCAGAGACAATGTTAGACCAGCTAAGTTTGTTGGGGAAAAAAATCACGACATCTCTTGTAAATGAACTGGTGAGTCTGTCCTTTTCTTTTGCTCTATTTGCTTCAATTTGTGTTATTTACTTTCATGATTTTACTACTAGTAATTGAGTATGTTTTTAAGCTATAGCATAAGTAATGAAATAAAAGATTAGATATGTAATAGTTTAGAAAATAAGAAGTTGGTTTATGAGTTTATTCCTAATCATCCTTCAACTGTAAAGGTGAAAAATTATTTGCTGTTTCTGCAATAGGTTGGGGTTGTTTCAGATGAGAAGTTACGTGAGCTCTTGGAATTAGCAATGTCATCAAAGACTTCAGAAACTGTGAAAAGAGCTAGGGAGTTAATGGACTCAGGAGTTGATCCAATCGTTCTAATGTCTCAACTGGCCAGCCTTATTATGGATATCATTGCTGGAACCTACAATGTTGTTGATTCCAAGGACAATCAGTCATTTCTTGGTGGAAGAAGCTGTGAGTATCATCCTTTTAATCTTCTATTCTTTTCAGAAGCAAAAGGCAGAACCTGATTGTTTGAACTCTATGCATTATATTCGTTTAGTGTAACATCATGAGTCCTAGTTCAAGCAGTTCATCTCCTATCGCCTCTTGCTTTGCATCTTAGGGAGGAAAAGCTCTTTTTTTTTTCTTTTTTTTTCTTTTTTTTGTGAAAAAGGCAAGTTCTTCCCATTGCATTAAGAATGGAAAGGCCCCCTTATTTTATTTATTTTTATTTTTTTCCATGTATCCAGTATTTCCAGCAGGTTCTGAACTTATATATTTATTCTCTCTTCCTTGATCCAGTCCAAGAGTAATGCGACTAATGCCTGAATTTGCTAGACAACTAGAGGAGTATGTAGTTCCCTACTACTGCAATTACCTGTTGATGTGCCTATACTGTTATTTTGAAGTTTCAATCACCTTTTATCATTTCATTCGCTATTTTCCAAATACTGCATAGCAAGTCAAATCAGTTTATGTCTGCATTACTCTATACAAGCTTGTGCTTGATCACTATTAGTTTCTTTGTTTATTTTGTCCAATAATAACAATATGGCAGAGGATAAAATAAATGCAGCCTTATTGCCTCTTGTTGGTTTCTACGAGGTTTCTGCAACTAATTTTTAGTATTATCAATCATTAGCCTTAATATGGATGCTTGGGGTTGTTCTGCAGTGACTGATACAGAGTTGCAGAGATTAAAGCATGCCTTGAAGCTTCTATCTGAGGCTGAGAAACAGCTAAGGGTTTCAAGTGAACGCTCAACATGGTTTACAGCAACTCTTCTACAGCTTGGTTCACTGCCTTCACCTGATCTTATGCAGTCAGGCTGTAGCAGCAGGAGGCAAAGCACTAAGACAACCGAGGATGCTACATCATACACTTCAAAGGAAGGTACTGCTCCCAGGGAGAAGTCAGGCGTCTGCTACATGCCTAGGAAGTCAACATCTCCTGCTTCCTTGCATAAATTAGTAAATGGGAATTCCAACCATCAAGTAGATTTATTATCTTTGATTGATGGTTATAAATCCAATTTCAAGCCACCTCATGATCAAAATAGAGGTGATGATGCTTTGGCTACCTCATGTGAGACTAACGTCATTGGAAATATGATACTTGAATTCAAAAATTCACCAAAATTAGATAATATCTGGGAAAAGTGTATTGAAAGGTGCCACTCAAAGACACTAAGGCAGCTATTACATGCATATGGAAAGCTTCTTGCAATCTCAGAAAATGAAGGTGGGCCCATAAGCTTTATGTTTATGCTTTAAAACTATATTCTGCTGATGATCTTTTGTGATCTTCACTCCTTAGTGGCCTAGTTGCCATGTGTTCTTTAAATTTTTTTTGGAAATGGCAAACATTTCATTTCATGAATGTGTTCTTTAAATTCTATTTTTGAAGAAAACTAAACTTTGTTGTGGATTGCCCTTTCTTTCTTGTGGTTTTCCATTTTTCACGCTTATATTGTTTTGGCTGCAGGTGTTCTAGTTGCCTATGTTGCATTTAGGGATGGGGATATTAAGTCAAGGGCTGAAAGGTTTTTGAGTAGTATCACGAACTCTATTGAAATTGTCATGAGACGTAATGTGGAGGTGAGAATGATCCTCTTGCCTGATGGCGAGGTTTCTTTAAACTGTGCAAAGGATCTACCAGTAAGTCTTCGGCAGCCAGTGGAAAAAACTACAGGGATTGGGAAGGAAAGGAAGGCAACTTCCATAAGTGCAATAGATGGTTTAATTTCTAATTTAGACTTGCATCAGGAGTCCCTAAAAGTATCCAGAGGAAGTTTTAGTGATTTGGAAGATAAAGTGAGAGGAGTAGATGGTTCCACACAATCCCTTTCTGGATCCCCTGAGTTAACTGAAGGCAATGCTGAAATCAGTGGTTCAAAGGAGGGTAGGCAAGAGATTCCAATGCAGAGAATAGAATCCATCATCCGTGAACAAAGATTAGAGACTGCCTGGTTACAGGCAACAGAGAAGGGCACTCCTGGATTATTGAGCCACTTGAAACCTGAGAAGAATCAGATCCTGCCTCAGGAAGTCTTTCGTAAAAATCATTTGGGATCAATTAACTCATCTCAGCAATGGGAGGATGAATTAAATCATGAACTAAAAAATTTGAAAATGGATGATCAAAAGGCACATGAGAAGGAACAGCTTGGCAGAAGGGCTGATCATTACCCTATGTCACCAAGCCTACTGCACGATAGCAATTTTAACAAAGAAAGCCTGTAAGTTTGAATGGCCCCATAACTTGTCTTGTTTTACATTATTTTTGGTCAGCTCTTACAGCTAATGCTGGATACTAATGGTTTTTTTGGTTAGTGGATATGAATCGGGGTCAGGAACTGGAGGTTGCAGTGCACTCTTCTGTTGGAATAACATCAAGTGTCACAGAAGGGGAAAGGTAGGCTGTTAGAGACACCTATGTTATGTTTCGACATCTTTGAATATGTCCATCAAACTGTACACATTTTTATCTCCATTTTTGTAACAACATTTTGTTGTTAACAGGTGAGGAGAAAGCCTGTTGGATCACGAAAAAGTGGTCGAATTTCATTATTTGGTGCATGTGTGATGGCAAAGAAAAGTGACAGCCGATTTAGAAGATAAATTGGTGAATATATTGAATTATACATATTCTTTACCAGTTAAAGCAATGCCAGCAGGCACAAAATAGAAAACATTCAATTTTCGACATTAAATTTGTTTATGAACTTTTTTCTGGCTTGGGATTACAATGTTTCATTTTATCTTAGATCAATGGAAAATAGTTCAAAGGAAAGAGATTGTCTTATTATGGTTGTAGAAATAATCAAATGTTGAATTTTTTGTGTCACTCTTGGGTTGGGATTGCAGATAAATAAAATCACAAACTACTTTTATTAAATTGAAAAATAACAGACTTAGGTGTTTTGAAGT